GACGTGTTACATTACACTATACACATTCCACTTTACACATGACACTATACACATGACACTATACACATTACACTATACACATTACACTATCCACATTACACATTACACATTACACATTACACATTACACTATACACATTACACTATACACCTTACACTATACACATTCCACTATACACATTACACTATACACCATACACTATACACATTACGCTATACACATTACACATTACACAATACACAATACACAATACACATTCCACTATACACATTACACTATACACATTACACTATACATTGTACACTATACACTGTACACTATACACTATACACATTACGCTATACATATTACGCTAAACACATTACACATTACACAATACACAATACACAATACACAATACACAATACACTATACACTATACACTATACACATGGCACTATACACTATACACTATACACTATACACTATACACATGACACATGACACATGACACATGACACATGACACATGACACGTGCACTATACACTATACACTATACACTATACACTATACACATGTCTGTATCGGGTTGCTTAATTAAATTTGGATAATAATTTGGAATTTTGAAAAATGGGAAGGATCTAAGGGAGTGTTGTGTTGTTTTAAGTTTTTATAGTTTTAAGAGGGTTTTTAAAAATTTTAATTGTTTTGTGTGTGTTTTTAGATGCGTCCGAGTACGACTGTTTTGATTAGAGTGCCTAGTGCTTTATAGGTTTGTAGGTCGTTTAGGGGTTTAGTATTGTTGCTCGTGTCATTGATTGTTACAGTTTAGAGTGGATTTGAGTGTTGGTCTGTTGTTGGTAATGCGTGCAGTGTAGTGTTACAGTTTAGAGTGGATTTGAGTGTTGGTCTGTTGTTGGTTATGCGTGCAGTGTAGTGTTACAGTTTAGAGTGGATTTGAGTGTTGGTCTGTTGTCGGTAATGCGTGCAGTGTAGTGTTATGTGTTCAGGAGTTTCTATCTGGTTGCAGTGTGGACATTTACCAGTTTGATGGGTTTTTTTTAAAATGTTGTGTAAGTAGGAGTTAACATGTAGTTTAGTGTGGCCAGTTTGTAATTTGATAATAGCCCTGTCGATTTCTTTTTATTTGTGATAGATTGTTTTTAGTGGCTTTTGTGACAATTGTTTTAGTTTACCGTTTAACTTTTGATTTGCCACTTTGGGATTTTTTTAAACTCGGTTTTTGATATTGGTAGTTTGATGCGTACTTCTTCTAATTGTAGTGCTGATTTGGCTGCTTTGTCGGCGTGTTCGTTACCAAACACTCCGACGCGGGCAGGGATCCAAACTATTCCCATGTGTTTACCTAGTGTACGGAGTTTGATGGAGCTTTTAATTATCTGTTGTATTAGTTTTGGTCGTTTTTTAAAAATATTTTTGTTTTTGATTGCCTGAGGCTCACTTAATGAGTCTGTTAGGATCAGTATTTTTGTGTTGTCCTGTCTGGGCGCTGGGCGGGGCCCTAGCAATTAATTCGACCGTAAATAGATTGGCTATATGGGAGTCTGTAGGATTTGGTTTCTTTTGTGGGTTGGTGGGTATGGATGCCGAATCCTGCGTTTTGAGCCCGGGTCACAGGACCTGTCTGTGTAAATGTAGCACCAATTTGGCAATTTTTCGTGTGTGGTGTGGTGGTTTTCGCGGTGTTTGGATCCGTTTCCTGATTTAGTTTGGTGGAGAGAGATACATCGATATTGGGGTTTTGTAGTTTGGGTATGAACATCTTGTTTGGTGCTGTGTTAGTTTAAGATGATTTAAGTTGTGTATGTTTAGGTTGTTTAGTATGTGTTGAGTGGTCGGGGATAATTGAGGATTTTACGCGAGAGAGAGAATTGGGGATTTTACATGCGCTTTCCGACTTTACGGGCTCACCAGGCCATTTCGTGGCTTTGCCGAGAGGGATGTGTCCGAAAAGGAAGTGCAATGTGGGTTGCTTTAGGGTTGCCTTTTTAATTTTGGGAAATTTGGAATTTTGAAAATTACCGTGAATGAGTACGGTTTTTACGCCGCTTTTATGTCAATATACAAAAATAGAAATCAAATCAATACAAAAACAGAAATTCTGTGAAAACCAAACTCGCAATAGATATGTGTACCCTACTCACACACTAAAGTCCAAAAGAGGGACAGGTCAGCCAAAATTGCTAGGGCAGAAGGGGGCCTCTTGAACACTTAATGCAACTACAACAACCATCGCCTCAACCAGATACCACATACCGTATAAGACCTCTTCCACCACAGTATGAGTTAGTATTGTTTTACGCCGGTTTTAGCAAAATCCCAGCAATATCACGGCGGAGGGTTGGGTGTTTTTTCTCTGTTGTTGGTGGTGTGTGCAGTGTTATAATGCGTGTTCAGGTGTTTCTATTACAGTGGGAACATTTACCTGTTTAATGTTTTCCGCTTTTTTGTAAGTGAGAGTTAAGTTTAGTGTGTCCTGTCTGTAATTTGAATATTGTCCTGTCAATTTTCTTTTGATTTATGAAGGATTTTTAGTTTTTTTGAGTGGCTTTTGAGCACCTGTTTTAGTTTAGAGTTTGATTTCTGACATAGGTTTTGCCACTTTTGGAAGATTTTCAACTTCGTGATACTTTTTATCTCGTTTTTAAATATTGGTAGATTAATGGTTATTTTTTCTACTTTTAGTGATGCTTTGGCTGTTTTGTCGGCGTGTTCGTTACCGAACACTCCGACGTGATCAGGGATCCATTCGAATTCTATTTCTCAACCTTGATTGCGGAGTGTGTTGGAGTTTTTGAGTATCTGCTGAATTAATTAAGGTCGATTCAAAAAAATATTTTTTTAATAGCTTGGGTGAGTGAGTGAGTTGGGTTAAACCCCGCTTTTAACAGTATTCCAGTTACATCACGGCGTCTCAGCTTAATGTGGGAGGACAGCCCGAAGTGATGCAGGTCTCAGACGTTTACCACATCGGTGAAACCCACGAGCACGGGTATGGTGCTGACAAACCTGGAAAAATAATTGGGGCGAACCGGGATTCGAACCCACAATTATAGGTTTCTGACGTGTCCAAGGGACGCAATTCTGCACAGCGAATCGCGGCGCCTTAGACGACTGGGCCACCCGTGCCCCCCTTTAATAGCTTGGAGTCCACTTTGTGAATCAGTTAGGATTAGTTTGGTTTTTGTTTTTTTGTTTTTTCATTTTGGGGTTATTTTAGCACTGTAGCCATCCCCTTGAAGTTACGTGGAATCCATACGAGTATTATATACACAACACCCGTCTTCCCACAACTTATGAAACGATCGCGTGTATTCAGTACCAGGTGGCAATACCCATTCAGCGTGCAGTCCGTGCTAATTAAGCCACGCCTCCTCGTCAGGGCTTTTAAGATTCGTGTTGGTTGTTACAAGTAACCACCTCAAAATACGTAGTTTCAATTTACCACTTTGCGCTAAGTTTACGTTTTCACACTTTTTCTCGGCCACCGAATTGTACATCATATGTTCTGTAAAGCTGTAAGAAAAATCTGTTACTACTTTTCATGATACTTGCACTTTTAGATTTGGTGACAAACTAGCTTTTGTAATGTCAAACACAAATATTATTAGAATCAGTGCCCAAACATGCATGAACATAATCAAGGAACGGAATTTATATTTGTGGGACAATTAATTGTTTCATTTTTATTTTTTGCCTGTATTTGTGGGACAATTAATTGTTTCATGTTTATATTTTGCCTGTACACATGCATTATATATTTATTAAACATCAGAGTTTTTATATCTGTATGACAAATAATTGTTTGAATGATTTTGAGGGATGACCCAATATGTATATGTTCAATATATACTTTATTTTTGAGGCGAGACTATGATAAACAAACAGTCTGTCAACGTTCACTTTATTACAGGTAAAATTGCCAAGTCTTCACAGTGGTCTGTGTTCTGCACATTCCTTCAACGTAATGTACACCCATGGGTATTGAAGTTCCCAAGAACCTTCACTTCAGCATGTTCAGAGCTTGACTATAACTAGGACCGCCTCCGTGGTCTAATGGTTGAGCGTCCGCCCGGAGAGCGGAAGGTCCGGGGTTCGATCCCCGACCGCGTCATACCAAAAGACGTTAAAAGATGGTACTTGTTGTTACCCTGCCTGGCGCTTGGCATAAAGGGGCTAAAACAAGGACTGGTCGGCTCGGAGTCAGTATACTGTGTCTGAGTGGGATATTCATGTTAAACTGCGGCATGGTATCTCAGTGAGCTAGCACTATAAATCGGCGTCAGTCCGGACTAGTACAAGCAGCCACACACAAAAACACGTGCATGCACGTCGCTATATAAGTGCAATAATCTTGGACGCGACGTTAAACCCCATTTAACCTCACCTTGAATATAACCATTTATCACAAAAGACTGGCAAATGTAAAGCCTGTTTTGAAGACTTGATGACGGATTAGCATACATTCTGAATTTGTATATTTATGCAGTGAATCGTATCTGGACTCTCCGATATATATACAGTTAACTACGGTTATAACGAACTCAAAGGGGCCACTAATTTTAGTTCGTTGTAGCCGTGGTTCGTTATACGCATATATACAGCATAACTACAGCAAATAGTCGAGACAAAAAAGTAAGTTCGTTATATCCGTCAGTTCGTTATAAGCGTGTTCGTTATAACAGTAGTTTACTGTAGTTTTACAGAGCAGAGTGTCTGAGTGTCAAAAGCCCATGCACGAATGAGAGAGTTGTATTTAACGCTGGTTTTAACTGTATTCAGTCATATCACGGCGTGTCAGCTTTATGTGGGAGGAAAGTGATGCGGGTCCAGATGCATAGGTATGGTGCTGACAAACCTAGAAACATAATCAGGGCGAACCGGGATTCGAACCCACAATCATAGGTTTCTGGCGGGCTCAAGGGACGCAACTCTGTACAGCGAATCGCGGCGCCTTAGACGACTGGGACACCCGTGCATGAATGAAATGACAAACCGATAAAATGTTGATTGATTTATTATGTATCAGTTCCAATATATATATGAGAAAGTTCTACCATACCCATTACCCAAAAACATATTTCAGTCCACTCAGTTCAAAAAATTCATTTCACTGTAAATGTAACCTCATATTCAACAAACGAATAAGGCTCGATTCCACTGTGAGCCCTCATGTGTGTCTGCAGGCGACATGACTTTGTGAATGTTTTCCCACATTCAACACACGGATAAGGCTCGATTCCACTGTGAATCCTCATGTGTGTCTGCAGGCGACATGACTTTGTGAATGTTTTCCCACATTCAACACACGGATAAGGCTCGATTCCACTGTGAATCCTCATGTATGTCTGCAGGCGACATGACTTTGTGAATGTTTTCCCACATTCAACACACGGATAAGGCTCGATTCCACTGTGAATCTTCATGTGTGTCTGCGGGCGACATGACTTTGTGAATGTTTTCCCACATTCAACACACGGATAAGGCTCGATTCCACTGTGAATCCTCATGTGTGTCTGCAGGCGACATGACTTTGTGAATGTTTTCCCACATTCAACACACGGATAAGGCTCGATTCCACTGTGAATCCTCATGTATGTCTGCAGGCGACATGACTTTGTGAATGTTTTCCCACATTCAACACACGGATAAGGCTCGATTCCACTGTGAATCCTCATGTATGTCTGCAGGCGACATGACTTTGTGAATGTTTTCCCACATTCAACACACGGATAAGGCTCGATTCAACTGTGAATCCTCATGTATGTCTGTAAGGTGAGATTATTGTATGAATATTTTTCAATATTCAACACACTGATAAGGTTTGACTCCACTGTGAACCGCTCATGTGTTTCTGCATTTCATATGATTGTGTAATTCCACTGTGGATGCTCATGTGTGACTGCAGATAACTTGATCGCGCAAACCTTTTCCCACATTCATCGCACTGATAAGGCTTAATTCCGCAATGAATCCTCATGTGTTTCTGTAGATTACCTGATTCTGTGAATGCTTTCTCACACACAATGCACGGATAAGGCTTGACTCCACTGTGAATCCTCATGTGTCTCTGCAGGTGAGATGATTGTGTGAATGTTTTCCCACATTCAACACAGTGAAACGGCTTGATTCCACTGTGAATCCTCATGTGTGACTTCAGATGACCTGATCGTGCAAATGTTTTCCCACAATCATCACACTGATAAGGCTTGATTCCACTATGAATTCCCATGTGTGTCTGCAGATTACGTGATTGTGTAAATGTTTTCTCACACACAGTGCACTGATAGGCCTTGATTTCACCATGACTCTTCATGTGTCGTTGTAGATTACCCGATATTGTAAATGCTTTGCCACATTGAACACACTTGTAAGGTTTGATTCCAGTGTGAGTCCTCATGTGTGTCTGCAGATTACCTGACAGTGTAAATGTTTTCCCACATTCAACACACTGATAAGGCTTGATTCCACTATGAATCTTCATGTGATTCTGTACATGACCTAATTCTGTAAATGTTTTCTCACACACAATGCACTGATAAGGCTTGATTCCACTGTGAATCCTCGTGTGTATCTGCAGGTTATATGATTGTGTAAATGTTTTCTCACACACAATGCACTGATAAGGCTTGATCCCACTGTGAATCCTCATGTGTGACTTGAGGCTACTTGCTTTTGTAAACGTTTTCCCACACTCGTCACACTGAGAAGACTTGACTTCACAGTGACCCAGCAAGTGTCTGTTCGTGTCACCTGATATATTAAATGTTTTCCCGCATGCACCAAACTGTTTGCCGCTCTTGTCAGTTACAAATTCTTTCCTGAAATCACCTGTTTCCAGCGTATCAGTATCGCATTGTTTCTTGAGATCACCTGTTTCCAGCGAATCAGTAACACATTGTTTCCTGAGCTCACCTGTTTCCAGCGTATCAGTATCGCATTGTTTCTTGAGATCACCTGTTTCCAGCGAATCAGTAACACATTGTTTCTCTAGATCACCTGTTTCCAGCGAATCAGTAACACATTGTTTCTTGAGATCATCTGTTTCCTGCGTATCAGTAACACATTGTTTCTTGAGATCATCTGTTTCCTGCGTATCAGTATCGCATTCTTTCTTGAGATCATCTGCTTCCATCAATTCTCTATCACAGTCTGTGATTGCACATGTTTCAGAATCAGAACAACATTTCCGTGGCTGGCTTTGTAATTCCATTATCAACTTGTTGATATTATGGTGTTCACTGTAAACATAAAAGAGTTGCTGCTACATTACTAATGTTGAAACATTTCATAAAGATGTTATCACAAGAAAAACACCAATATGATATGTATCATGAAACAAATACCCGATATTGTAAATATCTTTCCCATGATTGTTGTAATGTGACTGTTTTCTTTTAAGGGTAATTGCTATCGCATCATCCTGTGAAAAAAGAATACACATGGATCTGTTGCAAAGTTATGTCGTATGATATATGCCATTGTACAAAATTAATTTAAAATAATTCATATATTCTTCTTTATCAACATCCCCGACATTTCTTCAAAGACGTACATCATTAAAAAAGGCATAATTGAAATTAATCAATTATGTCTTTCAAATGATACAGTGTATTAATGATTAATTTCGTAATTCAATAATAAAGCAAATGCATAATCAATTACTTTTTATTTAAGGACAATCCAGAGGCAACAGTATATTAGAGCCAAAGATGGATCCTGTTATGCCCCTGTTATTGCGGATCAAATATAGGTATTTTGTTACTGGGTGCTTGATATTTTCATTGAACCCAGCATATAACAATGGATGAAAATGAGGCATAATCTGAGAAATTTGAGTTATAAAATTTGCTAACTGTAGATGCTAGCGATATTTTATTAATGCGGTTTATTTATTCTATAATGTATACGATTTCATGATAATAGTGAGCTGATAACAAAGATTAACGCACGTGACGCTGTAGAAAATGGGTTTAGTCTGTCTTACAGACCCTGATACATTTATATCAACTACAGCCCATGCAAGTCTATAATGTTTGGCAAGTCTAGATTACTGCAGTATCTGAAAATGAAGAGAATCACTGGGCTCCCTTTTTATTAGATTTTTATTAACATAACTGAACAACTGTTTTTTCTGTATGATATGTTCATTTCAGAGACTATATGTTAGTCTAAAAATGGGTTGTGTGTCACTGTTTACTGTTCGCCTGTGTGATGACGACCTTCGTGTTTACGACTTTAAAACATGCTTTCCTTCACTAAAGGAAACAATGGGTGTAAGACGTCGTATGCAGGGCAACAATGCCACGAAATGTTTTCAACCCCCCTTTCTAGCGTCTTTCTATAGTAAATACATAAACAGTTCATGAAGTGTCCGCCATGTTTCTTTGTATCGCGAGGGCCGCCATTGTAGAATCATTGCCTGGGTCAGTACAGCATAAGCGCAGCTCACCCCCACAACAAGACTCGTAGCAAGGAGGGAAAATGGGGAATTGGGTCAGTGCGCTAGAGCGGATAAACAACTACGATCTCTAACAAACGAGACACAACTCCATAAGCAGTCGTTATGAAATGATTTACCTTCGAAGCCATTCGCGATGTAATCTGTTGCAGTCACTTACATTCGATTTCTGCCTTTGTGTGCGACCTCCTGACTCAGCGCGCTACATATGTTACGGCGACCGCTGGGGGCGCTTGTGTTACTATTTTAAGAATAGGCCCTAACGCGCTATCTATCATAGATCTCCTAAAGCCAAGAGATGCAATAGCGAAGGCCAAACTAACTCTATTTCTGAGAGATGGATAGCTACTCGAACGTATATAAACAATGAAATTATATCAATATACGAAAATAGATATCATATCAATACAAAAAACAGAAATTCTGTGAATACCAAACTCGCAACAGATATGTGTACCCCTACTCACACACAGGAGTCCCAAAGAGGGACAGGTCGGCCGAAATTGCTGAGGCAGAAGGAGGCCTCTAAACACTTAATGCAATAACTACAACAACAACAACAACAACAACAACAACAACAACAACAACCTTCGCCTCAAGCAGAGGCCACATACCGTATAAGACCTCTTCCACCACAGTATGAGTGAGTATGGTTTTACGCCGCTTTTAGCAATATCCCAGCAATATCACGGCGGAGGACACCAGAAATAGGCTTCACACATTGTACACATGAAGGGAATCGAACCCGGGTCTTTGGCGTGACGAGCGAACACTTTCATCAGTAGATTGCCTCACCGACCACCTCAACAGAGACAGGGGACCAGTCTGTTTTTCTATAACTTGGTTCATGGAACACCTATTTCTATGACTTCTTTTGCGCAGGTTTTGTGTTTTTATGAGAAATTCTGAAAAATGAACATAGCAATTAATTTGTTAATGGTATTAATGTTCCTATTCATTTTTTTGCTACATTCAATATTGTACTCATGTCTGCTGTCTTAATGAAAATGTGTAAAGAGCTTATTTCTTTTTCATCAAGGTGCACAAGTTGATAAACATACAGTAAACTACGGTTATAACGAACACGCTTATAACGAACTGACGGATATAACGAACTAACCTTTTAGTCCCGACTATTTGCTGTAGCTCGCATTACGTTGACACACTGTGATATAACTAACCTAGTGTTCAAAGTAGCTTAAAACAACCCTCACTCACTCTGAGATCCAAGATAATGTCCGAAAAGGTAATGTAGGAATTATAGAGTTTTTTTCGTTATTATGAATGTTAGGCCCTTTTTAATTAGTTATTTTACGGAAGTCGTTGGTGAAATAAAAGTAAACAAAAAAAGCACTTTCATTTTTTTCGCTCTTGTGAAATATAGTGGGTCGGTATTGAAAGACTTTATCGTCAGTTTGATCAGTCAATGAGATTTCTGTAGCAGCTAGAATAGGTAATACTATACATACGGACGACAGTCACTAATCATTCTGTTGTTGTATAATAAACTGATTGTTTATTCACTCAGGTAAGAAACGTGACTATATCTTGTACTTTGTTAATTCTTAACTACAGTAAACTACGGTTATAACGAACACGCTTATAACGAAGCAACTTTTTAGTCCCGACTATTTGCCGTAGTTATGCTGTATATATGCTTATAACGAATTACGGTTATAACGAACTAGAATTAGTAGTCCCTTTGAGTTCGTTATAACCGTAGTTTACTCTATATGTTATTACCCTTGGCAATACCTGCAAGTCTGTTTGGTAACTCTAACAGTCATACCTGTGTATCCCATTGTTCTACTTCTGTGTATAGATAATGCCAATTCTGTACCTGTGTATCCCATTGTACTACTTCTGTGTATAGATAATGCCAATTCTGTACCTGTGTATCCAATTGTTCTACTTCTGTGTATAGATAATGCCAATTCTGTACCTGTGTATCCAATTGTTCTACTTCTGTGTATAGATAATGCCAATTCCGTACCTGTGTATCCCATTGTACTACTTCTGTGTATAGATAATGCCAATTCTGTACCTGTGTATCCCATTGTACTACTTCTGTGTATAGATAATGCCAATTCTGTACCTGTGTATCCCATTGTTCTACTTCTGTGTATAGATAATGCCAATTCTGTACCTGTGTATCCCATTGTACTACTTCTGTGTATAGATAATGCCAATTCTGTACCTGTGTATCCCATTGTACTACTTCTGTGTATAGATAATGCCAATTCTGTACCTGTGTATCCCATTGTTCTACTTCTGTGTATAGATAATGCCAATTCTGTACCTGTGTATCCCATTGTTCTACTTCTGTGTATAGATAATGCCAATTCTGTACCTGTGTATCCCATTGTACTACTTCTGTGTATAGATAATGCCAATTCTGTAACTGTGTATCCCATTGTACTACTTCTGTGTATAGATAATGCCAATTCTGTACCTGTGTATCCCATTGTACTACTTCTGTGTATAGATAACGCCAATTCTGTACCTGTGTATCCCATTGTTCTACTTCTGTGTATAGATAATGCCAATTCTGTACCTGTGTATCCCATTGTACTACTTCTGTGTATAGATAATGCCAATTCTGTACCTGTGTATCCCATTGTACTACTTCTGTGTATAGATAATGCCAATTCTGTACCTGTGTATCCCATTGTTCTACTTCTGTGTATAGATAATGCCATAGACTAACATCTAGTCTCTGAAATGAACACATCTTACATAAAAAAAACAGTTGTTCAGTTCTCTTAATAACAATATAACAAAATGAGCCCAGTGACTCTCTCCTACTACTGCAGTGATCTAGACTTGCCAAACATTATAGACTTGCATGGGCTGTATTTGATATATATTTGTATCAGGGTCTGTAAGACAGACTAATAATACCAATTCTGTTAACTGTATTAAATCGTTTACCGTTTGGAATATGTATTGTGACTGAACTGAATGTATCTTGTGTGAATGTCCACTCGGGTAGTGTATTAGTTAGAGTGTGTCGGGTATACCAGATTCAATCATATGAAAACTGTTTTATCACGTCGTGTACCTTGGAATATGTATCGCAACTGATGTAGTGTGTAGCTTGTAATGATTATACATCATGTTCATCTAATGTTCTTCCCATACATGTTCTTCTACAACTGAAAATCAACATGCTCTAATAATTGCCGATAATAATTGTTTGTAAATATTTCTATTGTTGACTGATTATGTATATGATTCTGTGGCTGTCTAATAAACTGACTGTTTATTCACTCATGCCTTGCGTTGTTGTGTGGGTTGGTCGCTTACATTGGTACCTCTGCTAAGACAGTGATGACTCATTTGCTTTTTAATAGAAGCATAACACACGCTAACAATGAGTTTTGGTGCCCAACTCAAAGACGTTACCGTGAGGACGAACAAACCGGAAATACCACGTCAACAAATCCGCACTTTGGGATGACGGAGGTTGAGTTATCTGGGATAAGTTAAGAATATACAGGCAGTTAAAAACTACTCGCTCTGTAGATCTCTCTGTGGATCTTTGTCATTAGAGTGAGTATGGTTTTACGCCGCCTTTAGCAATATTCCAGCAATATCACGGCGGGGGACACCAGAAATGGGCTTCACACATTGTACCCATGTTGGCGTGACGAGCGAACGCTTTAACCACTAGGCTACCCGACCGGTGTCGTGACGGGTTAGCGAAAATCCAATTTTCCCTAGTATCAAAAACCCAAGTTGGGGTATTTGTCCTACGAAGGCGAGATATGAGTAATTGCTGTAAAAACACCGGATAACCGTAGTTTAGATTAGCGCCGGTGCTGTTCAAACAGAGGAGAGGAGAGGAGAGGAGAGGAGAGGAGAGGAGAGGAGAGGAGAGGAGAGGAGAAGAGATTTACTAGAGAGTCGTTTCGTAAAAAAATAATACAGTTGGATGTTTAAACACAGGAGAAGAGATGATCAGTTTCTTAATTGAACAAACAGTTAGTTTCTTAGGTGATATGGGTTATGATACCGATGGGTTTAGAGGAGAGTCGTTTCTTAAGAATACATACAGACGGAAACAACACCGACGTAGTTCCAGACGACCTGCTTAAAGAAATTCCTTCCTTTGCACCCCTGAAGACCATTCTGTACCGACAACGCCACAAGACCCTTCCTAAACTTCCTGCCACCCGACCTGAGATTCATCTTGAAGGACAGTGGACATTGACCGAAGCAGGAGAACACTTCCTTCATCGCATCGACAACGACATTCTCATCTTCACCACAAGCAAGAATATTGAGCACCTGTGTGCAGCAGATGAAGTGTTTGGTGACGGCACCTTCTCCTCGGCTCCATGACTGTTTGCGCAGATCTACACACTGCATGCTGAATTCCAAGGCCACATGTTCCCGCTTGTGTACTGTCTGCTCCAGAACAAGTCCGAAGATACGTACACCAGGACAGTTGAACATTTACGTCTAATTGCTCAACAGCAGAATTGTTACTTCAATCCAAGAACTTTCCAGTTAGACTTTGAAATCGCTGCCCACAATGCTGTACGGAGTACCTTTCCCAACACTTTGATCAGGGGCTGTTATTTTCACTTCACCCATTGCATTTGGCGTCGAGTACAGAAGGAATGTCTGGCTACGGACTACAAGAACGATGATGAAGTGCGACGACTGGTGAGAAGAGCCGCAGCCTTGCCTCTGCTTCCCTTGGACAAGGTCGACGACGTCTGGCTCCTAGCCATCGCTGACAGTCCCGCGGGTCCCAAGGTCGCAGACTTCATGGACTACGTCACGACAACGTGGGTGGAAGGACGCCATTCGGACCTGAGATCTGGAACCATTTTGGTAACCAAGGGCATCGCACTAACAATAACGTCGAGGGGTGGAATCACAAACTCAACAAACTTGCCAGGAAGAGCCATCCGAACATTTTTGAAGTTGTTACGCTATTTCAAAGAGAACAATCCAACGTAGAAGTCGCCATTCAACGATTTGGAGCCCACTGGTGAGCACCACCCAGAAAGAGAAGATACCGGCTGATTGACAACCGTCTTCAGGCTCTGAAAGACAATCTCGTCAACAACGTCATCGGCGACGTTGAGTACACAGATCACGTTGGTGACCTGATCCACTTGGAGTGAATGACAAAGTTATTATAGAATGTATTGATGTATTTACCATTATATTTTAAGATATGAGTTATTGTTGTTTTTGTAGAAATTTGATGTACATCTATGAAATATTAAAGTATTAGAGTTATTAAATTTGTTAAATGTAAAGTACTTTTGTGCAACTATACTATACTTCAGCATCTAATAAATTACTACTGTAATTACGGTATACGCATTACTGTGTTTTTCTTGTAATTTGAGAGTCCCGGTAAAGCAATATCCCGTGTTTACTGTAGCGTGACCAGTCTTACTGTAGCTTCACGAAAGCGAAGAGATTTTAGAGTTGATTATGGCTAGGTTTCGCTCTTCCGACCCGACCGCCCCTTTAAATTGGTAGATTAATGTTTATTTCTTCTACTTTTAGTGATGCTTTGGCTGTTTTGTCGGTGTGTTCGTTACCAAACACTCAGACGTGGTCAGGGATCTATACGAACTCTATTTCTTAACCTTGATTGCTGAGTGTGTTGGAGCTTACGTAGTTTCAATTTACCACTATGCGCTAAGTTTACGTTTTCACACTTTTTCTCGGCCACCGAATTGTACATCATATGGCTACATAAAGCTGTAAGAAAAATCTGTTACTACTTAAAGTAACTTTTCATGATACTTGCACTTTTAGATTAGGTGACAAACTAGCTTTTGTATTGTCAAACACAAATATTATTAGAATCAGTGCCCAAACCTGCATAAACATAATCAAGGAACGGAATTTATATTTGTGGGACAATTAATTGTTTCATGTTTATATTTTGCCTGTACACATGTATATATATTTATTTCTTTAACATCAGCGTTTTTATATCTGTATGACATATAATTGTTTGAATGATTTTGAGAGATGACCCAATATGTATATGTTCAGTATATACTTTATTTTTGAGGCGAGACTATAATAGACAAACAGTCTGTCAACGTTCACTTAATAACAGGTATAATTGCCAAGTCTTTACAGTGGTCTGTGTTCTGCACATTCCTTCAACGTTATATACACAAACCCATGGTTATTGAAGTTCACCAGAACTTTCACTTCAGCATGTTCAGAGCTTGACTATAACTAGGACCGCCTCCGTGGTCTAACGGTTGAGCGTCCGCCCGGAGAGTGGAAGGTCCGGGGTTCGATCCCCGACCGCGTCATACCAAAATACGTTAAAAGATGGTACTTGTTGTTACCCTGTCTGGCGCTAGGCATTAAGGGTCTAAAACAAGGACTGGTCGGCTCGGAGTCAGTATACTGTGTCTGAGTGGGGTATTCATGTTAAACTGCGGCATGGTATCTCAGTGAGCTAGCACTAAAAATCGGCATCAGTCCGGACTAGTACAAGCAGCCACACACAAACACACGTGCATGCACGTCGCTATATAAGTGCAATAATCTTGGACGCGACGTTAAACCCCATTTAACCTCAACTTGAATATAACCATTTATCACAAAAGACTGGCAAATGTAAAGCCTGTTTTGAAGACTTGATGACGGATTAGCATACATTCTGAATTTGTATATATATGCAGTGAATCGTATATGGACTCTCCGATATATATAGTTCTACAGAGCAAAATGTCTGGGTGTCAAAAGCCCATGCATGAATGAGATAGTTGTATTTAACGCTGGTTTTAACTGTATTCAGTCATATCACGGCGTGTCAGCTTAATGTGATGCAGATGTTTACCTCTTGGGTGAAACCAACGAGCACGGGTATGGTGCTGACAAACTCAGAAACATAATCAGGGCGAACTGGGATTCGAACCCACTAACATAGGTTCCTGGTTTGCTCAAGGGACGCAACTCTGTACAGCGAATCGCGGCGCCTTAGACGACTGGGCCACCCGTGCATGAATGAAATGACAAACCGATAAAATGTTGATTGATTTATTATGTATCAGTTCCAATATATATATGAGAAAGTTCTACCACACTCATTACCCTAAAACATATTTCAATCCCATAGTTCAAACAATTCATTTCACTGTAAATGTTACCCCATATTCAACAAACGGATAAGGCTCGATTCAACTGTGAATCCTCATGTATGTCTGTAGGTGAGATTATTGTATGCATATTTTTCAATATTCAACACACTAATAAGGTTTGACTCCACTGTGAACCGCTCATGTGTTTTTGCATTTCATATGATTGTGTAATTCCACTGTGGATGCTCATGTGTGACTGCAGATAACTTGATCGCGCAAACCTTTTCCCACATTCATCGCACTGATAAGGCTTGATTCCACAATGAATCCTCATGTGTTTCTGCAGGTGAGATGATAGTGTGAATGTTTTCCCACATTCAACACAGTGAAAAGGCTTGATTCAACTGTGAATCCTCATGTGTGACTGCAGATAACCTGATTCTGTGAATGCTTTCTCACACACAATGCACGGATAAGGCTTGATTCCACTGTGATACCTCATGTGTATCTGCAGGTGAGATGATTGTGTGAATGTTTTCCCACATTCAACACAGTGAAAAAGCTTGATTCCACTGTGAATCCTCATGTGTGACTGCAGACAACCTGATCGCGCAAACCTTTTTCCACATTCATCGCACTGATAAGGCTTGATTCCGCAATGAATCCTCATGTGTTTCTGCAGGTGAGATGATCGCGCAAACCTTTTCCCACATTCATCGCACTGATAAGGCTTGATTCCGCAATGAATCCTCATGTGTCCCTGTAGACTACCTGATTCTGTGAATGCTTTCTCACACACAATGCACTGATAAGGCTTGATTCCACTGTGAATCCTCATGTGTGACTTCAGATGACCTGATCGTGCAAATGTTTTCCCACAATCATCACACTGATAAGGCTTGATTCCACTATGAATTCCCATGTGTGTCTGCAGCTTACGTGATTGTGTAAATGTTTTCTCACACACAGTGCACTGATGGGCCTTGATTTCACCATGACTCTTCATGTGTCGTTGTAGATTACCCGATATTGTAAATGCTTTGCCACATTGAACACACTTGTAAGGTTTGATTCCAGTGTGAGTCATCATGTGTGTCTGCAGATTACCTGAACGTGAAAATGTTTTCCCACATTCAACACACTGATAAGGCTTGATTCCACTATGAATCTTCATGTGATTCTGTACATGGCCTAATTCTGTAAATGTTTTCTCACACACGATGCACTGATAAGGCTTGATTCCAGTGTGAATCCTCGTGTGTATCTGCAGGTTATATGATTGTGTAAATGTTTTCTCACACACGATGCACTGATAAGGCTTGATCCCACTGTGAATCCTCATGTGTATTTGCAGTTTATATGATTGTGTAAATGTTTTCTCACACACGATGCACTGATAAGGCTTGATCCCACTGTGAATCTTCATGTGTGACTTGAGGCTACTTGCTTTTGTAAACGTTTTCCCACACTCATCACACTGAGAAGACTTGACTTCACAGTGACCGAGCAAGTGTCTGTTCATGTCACTTGATTTATTAAATGTTTTCCCGCATGCACCAAACTGTTTGTGGTTCTTGACAGTTACAAATTCTTTCCTGAAATCACCTGTTTCCAGCGTATCAGTAACGCATTTTTTCTTGAGATCATCTGTTTCCATCGTATCAGTAACACATTTTTTCTTGAGATCATCTGTTTCCTGCGCATCAGTAACACATTGTTTCTTGAGATCATCTGTTTCCAGCGTATCAGTAACACATTGTTTCTTGAGATCATCTGTTTCCTGCGTATCAGTAACACATTGTTTCTTGAGGTCATCTGTTTCCTGCGTATCAGTAACACATTGTTTCTTGAGATCATCTGTTTCCAGCGAATCAGTAACACATTTTTTCTTGAGATCATCTGTTTCCTGCGTATCAGTAACACATTGTTTCTTGAGATCATCTGTTTCCATCAATTCTCTATCACAGTCTGTGATTGCACATGTTTCAGAATCAGAACAACATTTCTGTGGTTGGCTTTGTAATTCCATTATCAACTTGTTGATGTTATGGTGTTCGCTGTAAACATAAAACAGTTGCTGCTACATTACTAATGTTGAAACATTTCATAAAGATGTTTCCACAAGAAAAACACCAATATGATATGTATCATGAAACAAATACCCGATATTGTAAATGTCTTTCCCACATTCAACACACTGATAATAATACAGTGATTGATTCATATCCAGATTTGTTATAATCTTTCTACTACCTCACACTGATGTAAGTGTCTTCAGTTGATTTATTTTCTGCAAAATGATTCTTTTCTTTTTAGGGTAATTGCTATCGCATCATCCTGTGAAAAAAGAATACACATGGATCTGTTGCAAAGTTGAATCGTATGATATATGCCATTGTACAAAATTAATTTAAAATAATTCATATATTCTTCTTTATCAACATCCCCGACATTTCTTCAAAGGCGTACATCATTAAAAAGGCATAATTGAAATTAATCAATTATGTCTTCCAAATGATGCAATGTATTAATGATTAATTTCATAAATCAATAATAAAACAAATACAAATTCAATGACTTTTTAATTGCGGACAACCCAGGGGCAACAGTATACTAGAGCCAAAGACGGATCCTGCTATACCCCTGTTATTACGGATCAAATATAGGTATTTTGCTACTGGGTGCCTGATATTTTCACTGAACCCAGCAGATAGCAACTGATGAAAATGAGGCATAATCTGAGAAATTTGAGTTATCAAATTTGCTACTGTAGATGCTAGCGATATTTTATTAATGTGGTCTATTTATTCTATAATGTATACGATTTCATGACGACAACAAAGATTAACGCACGTGTCGCTGTAGAAAATGGGTTGTGTGTCACTGTTTACTTTTCGCCTGTGTTATGACGACTTTCGTGTTTACGACTTTAAAACATGTTTTCCTTCACTAAAGGAAACAATGGGTGTAAGACGTCGTATGCATGGCAACAATACTCATGTGAATGTCACGAAATGTTTTCAACCCCCCTTTCTAGCGTCTTTCTATAGTAAATACATAAACAGTTCATGAAGTGTCCGCCATGTTTCTTTGTATCGCGAGGGCCGCCATTGTAGAATCATTGCCTGGGTCAGCGCAGCTCACCCCCACAACAAGGCTGGTAGCAAGGAGGGAAAATGGGGAATTGGGTCAGTGCGCTAGAACGGATAAACAACTACGATCTCTAACAAACGAGACACAACTCCATAAGCAGTCGTTATGAAATGATTTACCTTAGAAGCCATTTGCGATGTAATCTGTTGCAGTCACTTACATTCGATTTCTGTACGACCTCCTGGCTTTGCGCGCTACACATGTTATGGCGACCGCTGGGGGCGCTTGTGTTACTATTTTAAGAATAGACCCTAACCCGCTATCTGTCATAGATCTCCTAAAGCCAATAGATGCAATAGCGAAGGCCAAACTAACTCTATTTCTGAAAGATGAACAGCTACTCGAACGTATATAAACAAAGCAGCCAAAAATAAAAAATGAAATTATATCAATATACGAAAATAGAAAATTTTAATCATATCAATACAAAAAACAGAAATTCTGTGAATACCAAACTCGCAATAGATATGTGTACCCTACTCACACACATAAGTCCCAAAGAGGGACAGGTCAGCCAAAATTGCTAGGGCAGAAGGAGGCCTCTTGAACACTTAATGCAACTACAACAACCTTCGCCTCAACCAGAGGCCACATACCGCATAAGACCTCTTCCACCACAGTATGAGTGAGTATGGCTGTACGCCGCTTTTAGCAATATCCCAGCAATATCACGGCGGAGAACACCAGAAATGGGCTTCACACATTGTACACATGAAGGGAATCGAACCCAGGTCTTGGGCGTGACGAGCGAACACTTTCATCAGTAGGTTGCCTCACCGACCACCTCTGGAGAGACAGGGGACCAGTCTGTTTTTCTATAACTTGGTTCATGGACCACCTATTTCTATGACTTCTTTTGCGCGGGTTTTGTGTTTTTATGAGAAATTCTGAAAAATGAACATAGAAATTAATTTGTTAATGGTATTAATGTCCCTTCAGTTTTTTGTTACATTCAATATTGTACTCATGTCTGCTGTTTTTATGAAAATGTGTAAAGAGCTTATTTCTTTTTCATTAAGGTGCATAAGTTGATAAACATACATGTAAATATATCATTCATATCTTCCTTCACCCTAATGATTCTTTCGTTTCGACGTTACCATGTGTGCTGATCACTGAACATCAACAGGGATACTTTAATGACATGCTGGGCTTGTTTAATACACGTCAATCCAGTTCGTTTCTGGGGGGCACGGGTGGCCCAGTCGTCTGAGACGCCGCGATTCGATGTGCAGAGTTGCGTCCCTTGGACACGCCAGAAACTTATGATTGTGGGTTCGAATCCCAGTTCGCCTCGATAATGTTTCTAGGTTTGTCAGCACCATACCCGTGCTCGTGGGTTTCACCAAAGTGGTAAACATCTGAGACCTGCATTACTTCGGGCTTTCCTCCCACATTAAGCTGACACGCCGTGATATAACTGGAATACTGTTAAAAGCGGCGTAAAACCTAACTCACTCACTCACTCAGTTTGTTTCTGTGATTCCAGCAGTCGTTCAGGTCGCATTACGTTGACACACTGTGATATAACTAACCTACTGTTCAAAGTAGCTTAAAAAAACCCTCACTCACTCTGAGATCGAAGATAATGTCCGAAAAGGTAATGTAGGAATTATAGAGGTTTTTTCGTTATTATGAATGTTAGGCCCTTTTTAATTAGTTATTTTACGGAAGTCGTTGGTGAAATAAAAGTAAACATAAAAAAGCTCTTTCATTTTTTTTGCTCTTGTGAAATATAGTGGGTCGGTATTGAAAGACTTTATCGTCAGTTTGATCAGTCAATGAGATGATCTGTAGCAGCTAGAATAGGTATACATACGGACGACAGTCACTAATCATTCTGTGGCTGTATAATAAACTGATTGTTTATTCACTCAGGTAAGAAACGTGACTATCTTCTACTTTGTTAATTCTTAACTACAGTAAACTACGGTTATAACGAACACGCTTATAACGAACTGACGGTATATCCTAACTTTTTAGTCCCGACTATTTGCCGTAGTTATGATGTATATATGCTTATAACGAATTACGGTTATAACGAACTAAAATTAGTAGTCCATTTGAGTTCGTTATAACCGTACTTTACTGTATATGCTATTACCCTTGGCAATACCTGCAAGTCTGTTTGGTAACTCTAACAGTCATACCTGTGTATCCCATTGTTCTACTTCTGTGTATAGATAATGCCAATTCTGTACCTGTGTATCCCATTGTACTACTTCTGTGTATAGATACTGCCAATTCTGTACCTGTGTATCCCATTGTACTACTTCTGTGTATAGATACTGCCAATTCTGTACCTGTGTATCCCATTGTACTACTTCTGTGTATAGATACTGCCAATTCTGTACCTGTGTATCCCATTGTACTACTTCTGTGTATAGATAATGCCAATTCTGTACCTGTGTATCCCATTGTTCTACTTCTGTGTATAGATAATGCCAATTCTGTACCTGTGTATCCCATTGTTCTACTTCTGTGTATAGATAATGCCAATTCTGTACCTGTGTATCCCATTGTACTACTTCTGTGTATAGATAATGCCAATTCTGTACCTGTGTATCCCATTGTACTACTTCTATGTATAGATAATGCCAATTCTGTACCTGTGTATCCCATTGTACTACTTCTGTGTATAGATAATGCCAATTCTGTACCTGTGTATCCCATTGTACTACTTCTGTGTATAGATAATGCCAATTCTGTACCTGTGTATCCCATTGTACTACTTCTGTGTATAGATAATGCCAATTCTGCTAACTTTTTTAAATCGTTTACCATTTGGAATTATTTTTATGTATTGTGGCTGAACTGAATGTATCTTGTGTGAATGTCCACTCGGGTAGTGTATTAGTTAGAGTGTGTCGGGTATACCAGATTCAATCACATGAAAACTGTTGTATTACGTTGTGTACCTTGGAATATGTATCGTAATCTAGTGTGTAGCTTGTGTACTGATTATACATCATGTTCATCTAATGTTCTTCTACAACTGAAAGTCAACATGCTCCAACAATTGCCGATAATAAATACATGTATATGAATCTGAGGCTGTCAAATAAACTGACTGTTTATTCACTCAGGTCTTGGTTTTGTTGTGTGGTTTGGACGTGTACAGTGGTACCTCTGCTAAGCCAGACTCATTTGCTTTTTAATAGAAGCATAATATACGCTAACAATGAGTTTTGGTACCCAACGCAAAGACATTTCCGTGAGGACGAACAAACCGGAAATACCACGTCAACAAATCCGTACTTTGGGATGACGGAGGTTGAGTTATCTTGGATAAGTTAAGAATATACAGGCAGTTAAAAACTACTCGCTCTGTAGATCTTTCTGTAGAGTGGGAGTGGGGGCTGGAGGCTGGGGGAAAGCATGAGCACGGATAGATGATGGCTGATGCAGATATAGTGAGATTGATGTGGAGGTATGGTGAGAGGGGGGTGGAGGTATGTTAGGATGAGTACCGATACACGAGGGCGGATGTAGTCATATAGTGTGATGACTGTAGAGGAATGGTGGGGGTGGGGTTGGGGGTGGTGGGGGTGGTGGGGGTTGGGGGTGAGGTAAGTAAGAGCACGGATAGATGATGGCTGATGCAGATATAGTGAGATGGATGTGGAGGTGTGGCGAGACGGGTGTGTATACGAATACGTGTGCAGATGTAGTTATTGTGCGACGAATGCATGGGTATGTTGGAGTGGCGGGAGTGGCATAGGTCCTTGTGTAGTTGCTTAAATATTTATAGTTCAACTAATATCACGAGGGTCAGAAATACAATATCCTTTTGATTATCTAGGATAGTGCATTTCTGACACTCGTGACATTAATTAATGTAGAAATATTAAGCAACGACACAAGGGCTTGTGAGGTGTGGTGGGAAGAGGGAGTATGTAAGTAAGTATGCGCATGGATCCATGTGTTGGGTGAGGTGGGAGGAGGGGGTTTGTATGTAAGCATGCGCATGGATCCATGTGTGGGGTGTGGTGGGAGGAGGGAGTATGTATGTAAGCATGCGCATGGATCCATGTGTGGGGTGTGGTGGGAAGAGGGAGTATGTATGTAAGCATGCGCATGGATCCATGTGTGGGGTGTGGTGGGAGGAGTATGTATGTAAGCATGTGCATGGATCCATGTGTGGGGTGTGGTGGGAAGAGGGAGTATGTATGTAAGCATGCGCATGGATCCATGTGTGGGGTGTGGCGGGAGGAGTATGTATGTAAGCATGTGCATGGATCCATGTGTGGGGTGTGGTGGAAAGAGGGAGTATGTATGTAAGCATGCGCATGGATCCATGTGTGGGGTGTGGTGGGAGGAGGGAGTATGTATGTAAGCATGCGCATGGATCCATGTGTGGGGTGTGGTGGGAAGAGGGAGTATGTATGTAAGCATGCGCATGGATCCATGTGTGGGGTGTGGTGGGATGAGGGAGTATGTATGTAAGCATGCGCATGGATCCATGTGTGGGGTGTGGTGGGATGAGGGAGTATGTATGTAAGCATGCGCATGGATCAATGTGTGGGGTGTGGTGGGAAGAGGGAGTATGTATGTAAGCAAGCGCATGGATCAATGTGTGGGGTGTGGTGGGAAGAGGGAGTATGTATGTAAGCATGCGCATGGATCCATGTGTGGGGTGTGGTGGGAGGAGTATGTATGTAAGCATGCGCATGGATCCATGTGTGGGGTGTGGTGGGAAGAGGGAGTATGTATGTAAGCATGCGCATGGTTCCATGTGTGGGGTGTGGCGGGAGGAGTATGTATGTAAGCATGCGCATGGATCCATGTGTTGGGTGTGGTGTGAGGAGGGAGTATGTATGTAAGCATGCGCATGGATCCATGTGTTGGGTGTGGTGTGAGGAGGGAGTATGTATGTAAGCATGCGCATGGATCCACGTGGGATGGTTGTAGGGATATGGTTGGGAATGAATACTGTGTTTGCGTGCGTGTGTGCGTGCGTGCGTGCGTGCGTGCGTGAGGATACAAGGGCTGGCGAAGATATGGTGAGATGATTGTGTAAGTAAGTTTGGCGGTTGAGGACGCATGTTTGCAGGTATGTGTATGGATACACGGGAAGACATGCAGACTTGGGGTTGGGGAGTGATGCTAAAATTTGATGTGTTTTTTTTTCCTTTCAATTTATGTTTTACGCATTTCAGAGACGTTAGTGTCTCATAGGTCATACTGGCCGGGCATTGTGCATATCTACCCGAACAACGAAGTAATTTCTTTGCTGTACAATGCGTGACACTTAAACAAAAAAAAAGCGAGAGCTGATCAATAAAGGCCGCGAAACAGAAATACCGGAATGCGCTGTCGTTGTTGTTGCTTTGTTGTTTAATTAACGCCGCTCTCAGCAATATTCCAGCTATACGACGGCGGTCTTTGAATAATGTCAGCACCATACCCGTGCTCGTGGGTTTCACCGAAGTGGTAAATGTCTGAGACCTGCATCACTTCGGGCTTTTCTCCCACATTAAGCTGACACGCCGTGATATAACCGGAATAATGTTAAAAGCGGCGTTAAACCCAACTCACTCACTCACTCACTCACTGTAAATAATGAAATCTGGAACAGACAATCAAATGATTGACATCATGAGCATCTATGGGATACGATGGCATGCAACAACCAAGTCCACATTCTCAAGTTATTTCATATTGATTTATACAATATTTTATTCAGGAAGAATTAGTTACACGAAATTCAAAACGTCAGCGTCACAGAATAAAGTTCCGCTCATACACTGGGGAACTGTTCCCGTGAAGATTCCGGGGTAGAATAGGTCTTCAGCAACCTATGTTTGCCGTAAAAGGTGACTATGCTTGTCGTAAAAGGATACTAACGGGATCGGGTGGTCAGGTTCGCTGACTTGGTTGATGCATGTCATCGATCCCAAATGCGTGGATCGATGCTCATAATATTAATGACTGGATTGTCTGGTCCAGACTCGATTATTTACAGACCGCCGTCATATAGCCGGAATTTTGCTGAGTGCGGCGTAAAACAACAAAACCAAAACCAAACCAGTGGGGAACCAGAAATGTCCCTTGTTTTTCAGGCAACTAAATTGCATATGGTAAATGTTAATAACAATCACAACGCCCTTGATGTATAACCATACACCTGCGTATAGGTCATCTAAGGTTCAAGTCTGCACAGGTGTGTAGGTACTGCCACTTTCTCCATTGTAGTGTTTAGAGTGAGTGAGCTGGGTTTAACGCCGCTTTTAACAGTATTCCAGTTATATCGCGACGTGTCAGCTTAATGTGGGAGGAAAGCCCGGAGTGATGCAGCTTCAGAACACGATTGATAACTTTAAATACTGCCGTGATATTTGAAAACTTAAGGTTAATAATAGATAGTATTTCCCAATCTTTACTTCTTCCGGATAATATTTCTAAACCTTTATTGTGTCATAGTAGGTACCAGCAGTCAAAATGTCAGTGTGATTTTATAGTGGATATGATGCATGATGCGGAAACTAGATAGTAATTCAAGCACGGCACAAGAAGAATTTTGTGAATATCTGTTTTCTTCAATATGACCACTTAAAGGTTTGTGTCTTGTTGGAGGGAAAACCAATTAACAACATGGCAACTTTGAGTTAAAAAGGTGTTGGTGGGAGGCCGAGGGAGTGCCGAATTGTTCCATCCGACGGTAACAAAAAGGGTATGTTACTTAGACGTCCGAACATGACAAGACTTGGGAAGCCACATCAGTGTAAACTGTGTGTGCGATGTGGTTCTCCTGTGTGTAAAGAACAACCATAAGGGACGTAAAGTGGTGGAAATAGTTCTCCTGTGTGTAGTGAAAAATTGTAAGGAACTTTCACTCAAAATAATGGTGGAAATAGTTCTCCTGTGTGTACAGAACAATTGTAAGGAACTTTCACTCAAAATAATGGTGGAAATAGTTCTCCTGTGTGTACAGAACAATTGTAAGGAACTTTCACTCAAAATAATGGTGGAAATAGTTCTCCTGTGTGTACAGAACAATTGTAAGGAACTTTCACTCAAAATAATGGTGGAAATACTTCTCCTGTGTGTACAGAAAAATTGAAAGAGACTTTCACTCAAAATAATGGTGGAAATAGTTCTCCTGTGTGTACAGAACAATTGTAAGGAACTTTAACTCAAAATAATGGTGGAAATAGTTCCCCATGGGGACAGAACAGTTGTAATAGCCTGACACAATCATTGGGAAATGTTTGACTCTGGGTGGTCAACACAGATGCTCATTGTTAACTGTTCGATTTGGGTAAATATATCAAACCATGTCCTTATGCATGGTCTACAGCACGGGGATGGTGCTGATAAATCTAGGAACATAATCGGGGCGAACCGGGATTCGAACCCACAATCATAGGTGTCTGGCGTGCCCAAGGGACGCAACTCTGTACAGAGAATTGCGGCGCCTAAGACGACTGGGCCACCCGTGCCCCCTGCAGGATCTACAAGTGTATTAAGAGAACCATAACTAATAACGATAAATTGGCTTGAATGTGTTAATTGGCTCGAAGAAATCTTCAAGGGATACTTCTTATTGGGTTGCGTCCCTTGGGCACGCCGGAAACCTATGGTTGTGGGTTCGAATCCCGGTTCGTCCCAATTATGTTTCTAGGTTTGTCAGCACCATACCCGTGCTCATCGGTCTCACCGAAGTGGTAAACGACTTAGACCTGCATCACTTCGGGCTTTCCTCCCACATTAAGCTGACACGCCGAGATATAACTGGAATAATGTTAAAAGCGACGTTAAACCCAACTCACTCACTCACTCACTTCTTATTGGCAGGGGCGACTGTGATATAGTGTTAGCCACATACACCTAATGAGGTTGCAGGTCACAGCAAATATGTTAATTGCCTTGTTTTGACCAAGAGTCTAGTGGTGTATAAGAACGATCAGCACACTAATTAAACAGGCTAACTACCTTGTTTGTCAAAGCAGGGTTGTAGACGATGACAGTTAGTTTATTGTCTTGTTCTGGACAGGCTAATTACTGGTCAACTCTGCAACATACAGAGTTGCTGTATGACTACATGTAAGGAAGATAAGATAGCCTTTGATTTATCCCTGTCCAAGAGCACGTGGTGTAAACATGTGGTCACTACATGGCCAGAGGATTATTAACGACCGAGATAGATAGCATTGGATTTAAATATCCCCTACGCAGTAACATGAACTTGCTTACGTCCTCCACGAGGCAAACTCTAGGCCTCAAGGTCAACGGGCAAAGCCCTGCCACCCCTTAAATACGGAGGTGGTTTCAGAGACGGTAGACAGACGACAGACCGAGACAGGCAAACATGACCAGCATCACACTGTGAAAAGGTCCCGAGCGTCAGAGCCATTTTGTACACTTTGTAAACCTTTATTCCTGAACTATGAAACGTGTGATGTTACATCCCTCGCTACATTCAACACACTGATAAGTTGGATTCCACGGTGAATCCTTGTGTTTCTGCAGATTACCTGAGTGTGTCAATCCTTTCCCACAAACAATGCACCCGTAAAGGTTTGATTCCATTGTGAATCATCCCTTGTGTATGCAGAGTACCTGAGTGTCAAAATATTTTCCCACATCGAACACACTGCTAAGGCTTGTTTCCACTATGAATGGTCAGGTGTCGCTTCAGGCTATTTGAGTATGTAAACGCTTTACCACACACATCACACTGATACGGCTTTCTAGCACTATGAATGGTCATGTGTTTCTGCAGGCTACTTGAGTGTGTGAACCACTTATCACACACAACACACTGATAAGGCTTGATTCCAATGTGCATCCTCATGTGTTTCTGCAGGTCACCTAATAGTGTAAATGTTTTCTCACACACAATGCATTGGTAAGGCTTGATTCCGCTGTGAATCCTCATGTGTTTCTTCAAGCTAAATAGTTGTGTAAACCATTTCCCACATTCAGGACACTGATAAGGCTTGATTCCAGTGTGAACCGACATGTGTCCCTGCAGGAGACCTGACCTTGAAAATTCTTTACCACATTCAAAACACTGATAAGGCTTGATTCCACTGTGAATCATCATGTGTGTCTTCAGGTTACCTGATTGTGCAAATGCTTTCCCGCATTCAACACACTGATGAGGTCTCATTCCAGTGTGAATCGCCATGTGCTTCTTCAGAGTACCTGATACTGTAAATGTTTTCTCACATATATTACACTGATAAGGCTTGACTTCACTGTGAATTCTGATGTGTTTCTGCAGATTACTTGATTGTGCAAATGTTTTCCCGCATTCAACACACTGATGAGGCTTGATTCCACTGTGAATCATCATGTGTGACTTCAGGTGATATGAATGTCTAAATGCTTTCCCACATTCAACACACTGATACGGTCTGAGTCCACTGTGAATCGCCATGTGCCTCTCCAAAGTACCTGATCGTGTAAATGATTTCTGACATATTTTACACGGATAGGGCTTGACTCCACTGTGAATCCTCATGTGTTTCTTCATGTTACTTGATACTGTAAATTCTTTTCCACATTCAACACACTGATGAGGTTTGATTCCAGTGTGAATCGCCATGTGATTCTTCAGAGTACCTGATCGTGTAAATGTTTTCTCACATACATTACACTGATAAGGTCTGAGTCCACTGTGAATCATCATGTGTTCCTGCAGAGTACGTGATCGTGTAAATGTTTTCTCACATACATTACACTGATAAGGCTTGTCTCCACTGTGAATCCTCATGTGTTTCTGCAGGGTATTTGATCGTGTCAATCCCTTCCCACATTCAACACACTGATAAGGTTTGATTCCAGTGTGAATCCTGATGTGATTCTTCAGAGTACTTAATCGTGTAAATGTTTTCTCACATATATTACACTGATTAGGCTTGACTCCACTGTGAATCCTCAAGTGTATCTGCAGGTAATTTGATCGTGTAAATTCCTTCCCACATTCAACACACTGATAAGGTTTGATTCCAGTGTGAATCCTCATGTGTGACTGCAGCTGACCCGATTGTGTAAATGTTTTCTCACACACAATGCACGGATAAGGCTTAATTCCACTGTGAATCCTCATGTGTGCCTGCAGATGTCCTGAACCTCTAAACCTTTTACCACATTCAACACATTGATAAGGGTTGCTTCTACTGTGTACGTTCATGTGTTTCTGCAGGCTGCCTGACTGTGTGAACCCTTTCCCACATTCTACACACTGATAAGGTTTGATTCCAGTGTGAATCAGCATATGTTTCTGCAGATGACATGATAATGTAAATGTTTTCTCACACACGATGCACTGATGAGACTTGATTCCACTATGAATCATCATGTGTTTCTGCAGGCTACCTGACTGTGTGAACCCTTTCCCACATTCTACACACTGATAAGGTTTGACTCCAGTGTGAATCAGCATATGTTTCTGCAGATGACCTGATAATGTTTTCTTACAAACAGTGCACTGGTGAGGCTTGATTCCACAGTGAATCGCCATGTGCCTTTTCATGTCTTCTGATTTAATAAATGTTTTCCCGCATGCACTACACGTTGATTGATCTTCTGGACCACCACAATCTTTGTGTTCCTTGAGATCACCTATTTCCTGAGTGTCAGTAATTTCCAGCAATTCTCTCTCACAGTCACTGACTACACATGTTTCAGAAACAGAGCCAGGATTCTGTGGTTGGCTTTGTACTTCCATTGTTAACTTGTGGATGTTATGGTGTTCACTGAAAACAAAAGAGTTGTCTTTTATCATGATAATGCATTTTCAAAAGATGTTTCCACAAGAACACCAACAATAACGAGGGCTGAGACCCGTGAAGATCCGGGGTATAATAGGTCTTCAGCAACCCATGTTTGCCGTAAAAGGCGACTAACGGGTTCGGGTGGTAAGGTTCGCTGACTTGGTTGATGCATGTCATGGATCCCAATTGCGTGGATCGATCGATGCCCATGATATTAATCACTGGATTGTCTGGTCCATACTCGATTATTTACAGACCGCCGTCATATAGCTGGAATATTGCTGAGTGCGGCGTTAAACAACAAACAAACTATACACAAGTTGGTGATGTGTTATGGATCATGATGTAAGACCTGATTTTGTTCATGTTTTTCCCACATTTAACACACTGATAATAGCTGTTTGTGGTAATTTCATACCCCAAACGAATTAGTACTGCGGGAAAACACCAGACATTTCGTACCAGTGGAATATTCGTACCCAGAAAAATGACACATTTCGTACACTATTTAGTATTTCTAAGTATACCATTATAAGGTTATATTAGCGCCCTCAAACGGCCATGTGTGACGTCACAGTCCAGTCAATTTATAAACACTATGAATCATCATGTGTTTCTGCAGGCTACCTGACTGTGTGAACCCTTTCCTACATTCTACACACTGATAAGGGTTGCTTCTACTGTGTACATTCATGTGTTTCTGCAGGCTGCCTGACCATGTGAACCCTTTCCCACATTCTACACACTGATAAGGTTTGACTCCAGTGTGAATCAGCATAAAAAAAAAAAATTATGTTTCTGCAGATGACCTGATAATGTTTTCTTACAAACAGTGCACTAGTGAGCCTTGATCTCACAGTGAATCGCCATGTGCCTTTTCATGTCTTCTGATTTCTAAGTACACCATTATAAGGTTAGATTAGCGCCCTCAAACGACGTCACAGTCCAGTCCATTTATAAACAGTGAGTCAGTATGGTTCTACGCCGCTTTTTGGAATATTCCAGCAACATCACGGCGGAGGACACAAGAAATGGGCTTCACACATTGTACCCATGTCGGGAATCGAACCCAGGTCTTCGGCGTGACGAGCGAACGCTTCAACCATTAGGCTATTAGGCTAGGCCATTTTTCTTTGTCTCATGGAGGCCGCCGTTATGGAATTGCCTGTATCAGTGCTTCGCAAGCGCAGCCAAAGGCTGGTCTCCAGGAGAGAAAACTAGGGATTGGGTCAGTGCGGTTAAATGGATAAATGGATCACTGTCAAACGAGACACCACTCCATAAGTATGAAATGATCTACCATGGATATCATTCGCGACGTCATTTTGTAATCTTTGCCGTACTGTCACTTAAATTTGAGTGTTGCCTTTGTGTATGACTTCCCGGCTTTGCGAGCTACATACAGGTTCAAACATACCAAATCACAAGCAGTTTTCGCAGCCTTCAGTGCAGAATGAATCACATGGCAGCTGTAATTTTGTATGTTTTGTTTTAAATGTACATCAATCCATTAATTAAAACTGACCATGTACTTTTATATATTTAGAGCTGTCTTTTTTTACATGATAACTTACAATGTTAGCTGAATTCGACCGCGGATAGGGGGCACGGGTGGCCGAGTCGTCTAAGGCGCCGCGATTCGCTGTGCAGAGTTGCGTCCCTTGGGCACGCCAGAAACCTATGATTGTGGGTTCGAATCCCGGTTCGCCCTGATTATGTTTCTAGGTTTGTCAGCACCATACCCGTGCTCGTGGGTTTCACCAAAGTGGTAAACGTCTGAGACCTGCATCACTTCGGGCTTTCCTCCCACATTAAGCTGACACGCCGTGATATGACTGGAATAATGTTAAAAGCGGCGTTGAACCCAACTCACTCACTCTAAGCATTTGGAATAAAAACGTTGAATGGGTTAAAATGAAGGCGCATTGGTAGCTCCTGAATTGGAACCGAATGCATTAATTATGCGAATGAAAAAGAACAATATCGGATTTGACAGCGGTCATTAGCGAAATATGTGCACAGCTTCTATGGGAAACTAGGTCAAATGCAGCGGAATAACTTCGGCTGTATCCGTCAGAAGCCGATCTCACTTACATAAGAACACTTTCTTCCGGAAACAGACAGCGTGAGGGACATTGCGGAGATACACCAATAAGCGATAAGCTAAGTAGTTTCTTTTGGTTTGTCTGACTCGAATTCTTGACTTTAACATTTTTAAGCATAAAATTCATGGCATTGAGCATCAGAATCTGTTATCTAAAAGTAGAAGACGTGTTTTCTTAAATCAGTTATAGCAAATATATGGGTAGACTAACATCTAGTCAAACAGTTGTTAAGTTCTGTTCATAGAAAATATAATAAAAAGGAGCAAAGATACTCTCGTCATTTCCTGATACTGCAGTAATCTAGACTTGCCTACTAATATAGACTTGCTTGGGCTTTTTTTGGATATATTTGTTTCAGGGTCAGTATCACAGACTATTAAATGGGCAGTAGTCAGGCATGGTCTCCGACCACGCTGAAGATGCCTGACATCTCGCCCATCCCCCAACAGATCCCAGCAATCTTGGCAACTGTTTGGTAGCCAAAACAAACGCATCGGGATCTCGTAATGGTATGTTAATAAAATACAGTAAAGTACGGTTATAACGAACTCAAAGGGACTACTAATTTTAGTTCGTTATAACCGTAGTTCGTTATAAGCATATATACAGCATAACTACAGCAAATAGTCGGGACCAAAAAAGTAAGTTCGTTATATCCGTCAGTTCGTTATAAGCGTGTTCATTATAACCGTAGTTTACTGTACTTATAAATTAATATTATTGCTTAAGTGCCAATCAGCCACAGAAGAATTCCTTACTGCTGGCGTTGACTGACATAATTTTGTTATAAGCCGTATAGTATCACCAATTATTGGGCAAATACAAGATATTGAGTTCTTAGACGTAAACAATGAATAAAATTATGGGCGAAGTAATTTATCTAGCTCTATGACTGATACGTTTTCCAATCGACTCCCATCAAAATACATAGATAATGCATACAAAATACATTACTGAACTATATTATTGCTGATCATGGATTATCTGTATGGAAGGGGCATTTTTCATTCATATTCATAGGAGGGCCTGATATACGACTTCTAAGAGAAACATCATCTTATGCACAGTGAAAAACTACATCAAGTCCCTTCAGCGAATTCAGCGTAAACAGGTGATAAATTTTTTTTGATCAATGAAACTTGAGATAAATTACTTACAGACTTGACGATGTACCATTTAAATTGTCTTTTCTCTTCTGCTGGACATTTTTTTATTTGCAGAAATTAGGTTTGCCGTGTGTTTTTCCCATTAACTAAACCGGAAATAACACCTAGCTGTACATTTTCTACCAATCTACCCGTGATTCGGTTAATAATACCCCCCAAAACGTATAACTTGAAAGGATTTTGATGCAATGTTCGGAATACTTGTATTCTGAAATTTTTATTTTATCAGAAATGATATTTTCAAAAATACCGTATTTTTAGTTGCAAGTTTTACTAAATAAGATAATATTAACCATAATCACTTTTGTACAGCTGGACGTTATTGGCGGGTAAGTTTTACGTATGAATAAGAAATGACCAGTCACCGCTGAGGCCTCTCGGTTTCTGCTGCAGTTAATGGATAAAAACAAAATGCAAAAATCGTAATTACAACCGACAAAAGTTATATGTATAATATCAGGCAGTTATACATATCCTATATCCACAAAGTAGGTTGGTTTGTTGTTTAACGCCGCATTCAGCAATATTCCAGCTATATGACGGCAGTCTGTAAATAATCGAGTCTGGACCAGACAATCCAGTGATTAATATCACGCGCATCGATCCACGCAATTGGGATCCATGACATGCATCAACTAAGTCAGCGGGCCAGACCACCCGATCCCGTTAGTCACCTTTTACGGCAAGCATGGGTTGCTGAAGACCTATTCTACCCCGGAATCTTTACGGGTCTATATCCAGAGAGAGGAATAATATCCCTAGTCTGTCTTACAAATCAAATATAGCCCATGCAAGTCTATAATGTTTGGCAAGTCTAGATTACTGCAGTATCAAATGAAGAGAGTCTCTGGGCTCCCTTTTATTATCTTTTTGTTAAGATAATTGAACAACTATTTTTTTTCCCTGTACGATATGATCATTTCAGAGACTAGATGATGGTCTATAACATCCCATACATATCAAGCTGTACAAAGAAACTTGATCGATGTCACGTGTCTTTGTGACAATCTAATATTTTGATACATATCGATATATAGATTCGTGTTCGTTTCTCAAATGACCACGTAAGTTTGTTTCAGGTGTTTCACATAGGTGTCAAGTCTCATTGGTCAGCTGAGATAGCACACGTGACAACTATGTTCATGATGTCCATGGTTCTTTAAAAAATCCAAATGATCAATCAATCAACGTACTATCGGCTAATCCTTTGACCAAAGTATGTTGTTTTGACATAAGCACTTCACGCCCAGATATGGGTGTATTTCGTCTGCTTTAGTAAACCTACGTACATGAACACTAACTTTTGACAAATCTACTCCGCAAGATAACATTGATTTATCAATCAAATTATCGGTTAATCCTTTGATCGATGTTTTTTCAGGAACTCAACTGATCATTCTTCTCTTACTGTGTTGCCATGGTTATTACTTAACATGTAGTCCATTCACCGCATCAGACTGGATTTATAACCCAGTCTTCTATTGACTAATTACCCCAGACACAAGAAATGCCAAAAGGGAACCGCTGATTGCTATATATCACACGAAAGCAGCTTCACACATTGTACCCATGTCGGGAATCGAACCCGGATCTTCGGCGTGACGTGCGAAAAATTCCTCTGCTGGATATTAATGGAAGATATGAAGTTTATAAAATCCATAATTTACCTGTTCCAAGGTGTGGAGATAAACTACAATCAAATGGGTTAAGTGATATAGCTGCGCAATGCCAGCTCAAACCCAGTACACTTACATTGAAAACTGAGCGAACAAAATTTGTTTTACTGACCTCGGAAGATCTAGAGGTGTGTAATAAACCGCTAAAGGGTTACTGTTCCATTCAAAGCCCAGTTTATCCTATAAACCTCAGTAAAGTGTGTATAACCCGGGGTATTTGAAAATAAAGAAAATGACTTTAAACAGCAGTGCGAAGCTATTATCAGGTTGAGGGGCGTTCGGGTAGCCTCGTGGTTAAAGCGTTCGCTCGTCACGCTGAAGACCCGGGTTCGTTTCTCGACATGGGTACAATGTGTGAAGCCCATTCCTGGTGTCCCCCGCCGTGATATTGCGGGAAAATTGCTAAAAGCGGCGTAAAACCGTACTCACTCACTCACTGTATATCCTCTACACCCCTAGAGGCAGGGATGAACGTTATTGAGTAATTTGGCAGTCTTTGTCAGACAATCTGAGTGGCTCTACCACTAATTCTATCTGATTATATTGATGACTTTATCTTCTTGTTCCTTCAGCATCCGACAGTCGATAGTATACAAAACCCATGGAATGGGAAAATGGGGTTTTAATTGCGGCTTCAAATAAATCAAATTGTTCTTTTTAATAGTATGGGTCTGTTGACATGATATTATAACGTGATATTATTAAAGATCAACCTATAAAATACAGAAATGGTATCCAAATCAATATGTCACCAATATGTAAAATGCGACTAAGCTTGTCGTAAGAGCCGACTAACGGGATCGGGTGGTCAGGCTCGCTGACTTGGTTGATGCATGTCATCGTATTCCAGTTGCGCGGATCGATGCTCATGATGTCAATCACTGGATTATCTGGCCCAGCCTCGATTATTTACAGACCGCCGTCGTATAGCTGGAATTTTACTGCGTGCAGCGGTAAACAAAAAAACAAACAATCTGTCATCTTATAATCCACGCATTCAGAAATCCGAACATGTTTTCACTGCGGGTAAAAATATGAGTCATTGCTGGTGGTGTGAGGCAGTCGGATAGAAGCCAGAGTGTAGTTTCCCTTTATTTATAATATAAGTAAAAATGGACGTTATTCTCCTGACATACACGTTGCAACAGTATTCATGATGCCACGGACATTTTCTAAGCTCCCGTTCTAGCGTCTTTCCGTAGTAAATACATAAACAGCTGATAAAGCGTGCGCCACGTGTCCATATCGAATGGAAGCCGCCATTGTTGAGTCGTGGCTGTATCACTGAAGCGCACGCGCTGCCTACCTAGACAACCAGGTCTCCAGGAGAGAAACACAGGGGATAGTGAGTTAAAATGGATAAATAGCCACGATCACAAAGAAAGGAGACGCATTTCTCTAAGCAGACGCTGTCAAATCATCTAACTTCGAAGCCATGTAATATTGTAATCTTGTAATTACTTACATTCGGTTGTTGCCTGTGCACGACCTCCCGGCTGTGCTTCCTGCACGTTATGACGAGCGCTGGTGGGGTTGTGTTACTATTTTAAGAATACATCCTGTCTTTCGCTTCAACCAGAGTCGATATACATATGTACCTAATATGGGCTCTGCCTCAACAGCGAGTGAGTGAGTATAGTTTTACGCCGCTTTTAGCACTATTCCTGCAATATCACGTCGGAGGACACCAGAAATGTACTTCACACATTGTACCCATGTATGGAATAGAACCTTGGTATTGGGCGTGACGAGCGAACCCCTTCACCACCAGGCTACCCCACCGACCACCTCGGTAGAGGCAGGGGACCGGTCTGTTTTTCTATAACTTAGTTAATCGAACACCTATTTCTATGCGGATTTGTGTTTTTATGACAAATACTGAAAACAAAGAGTAGAAATGGTAATGGTATTAATATTCCTATTTATTTTATTTTTTTGTGGTAACATTCATTGTACTCGCATCTCTTGCTTTAATGAAGTTTGTAAAGAACTTATTTAGTTTTCATTAAGGTGCATTGATGTTTCAAATTGATAAACCCATCAATATATGATTCATATTTTCTTAGCTAGGCTACGCAGATAAACTCAGGGGTCGAACGATCGCATCAAAAAGTGGAAGAGATATGACAATCGGTATTAGACAACTGACGTTAGGAATGTGAGAATATGCGGGAAATACCAAACTTATCCCACCTGTTCGCAAAATGGACTTGTCCGACATTGCCGAGGTCGGATTCCCTTCATCATTATGTAAATACGGGTAAATATATTTCAAGTTTGTACGGTTTAGTAACATCCTTAAAGAGGCTGAACATAATATTGATATCTCATGTAAGAAATAATCGACTGGCGGTTTATTCTCCCTGCAGTGTTTTATTGTAAAACTGCTAATCGTCGTTTATTTTTAGATTAACTTTATTTCATTTGCTTGAGTTTTAGTTGAGATACCTATTGCCAACAATATCAAAAAGGGGCGGTAGGGTAGCCTGGTGGTGAAAGGGTTCGCTCGTCAAGCCGAAGACCCGGGTTCGATTCCGTTCATGTGTACAATGTATAAAGTCCCCCCCCCCCCCCTTCCTGGGGTATTGCAAAAAGCGGCGTAAACATACTCGTGCTCTTCAACGTCATAAATATCTTATGTATGAATTTATCTATCAGTTAGCTTTATTTGATGTGCTTTATGTTTGTTTTAGTTCCGATAACTCTTGCCTCCAAATTCATAAATGCTACATATATCGTATTGATAAATATTGTATAATTGGTTTTTTTTAAATATTAAGTTTCGTTTGTTTGTTTGTTTGGTGTTTAACGCCGCACTCAATATTCCAGCTATATGACGGCGGTCTGTAAATAATCTAGTCTTTACCAGACAATCCAGTGATTGATATCATGAGCATCGATCCACGCAATTGGGGCACGATGACATGCATCTACCAAATCAGCGCGCCTTACCATCCGATCCCGTTTGTCTCCTCTTACGACAAGCATCGTATTGTATACAGAAGTGAGTGATAAGTATTATATATAAATTAATAACGTGTTTTATATTGAAATAACTGTTTTGTATAAATGCCATTGTATTGTGTAACGACGTAGGGGACGTAGAGTCAAGAACGTGTAGTGCATGTTGACAGACACAATATATTAATGTATGTATGTATGTAGGTCGCTGGAGTCCCTGGGTGACCTGTGGGTGACCGCCCGGTGACCGGATGAGGTTAGCGGTCAGGGATATCTATCTGCATCCGGCCACTAGACCACAGCATAAAGTGGCATCCCCGTGTTGTCGTACTTTGCAGCCGTACGATACACTTTTGAAGTGTAACATTAATCCATACAAAGAATTTATGGTTCCATGAAAACTTATTCACACTCTATGGAAAATGTCTCACTGAAAATTTGGTTATTTTTTGTTTATTTGTTTGTTGTTTAACGCCGCACTCAGCAATAGTCAAGCTATATGACGGCGGTCTGTAAATAATCGAGGCTGGAACAGACAATCCAGAGATTGACATCATGAGCATCGATCCACGCAATTGGGACACGATGACATGCGTCAACCAAATCCTGACCACCCGATCCCGTTTGTCGCCTCTTACGACAAGCATAGTCGCCTTTTACGGCAAGCACGGGTTGCTGGAGACCTATTCTACCCCGGATCTTCACGGGTTAATGTTACGTGAACTTGTCACAATGGTTCAGTAATAATTTAAGTGGGCACGGGTTGCAGGTCACAGCAAATATGTTAATTGCCTTGTTTTGACCAAGAGTCTAGTGGTGTATAAGAACAATCAGCACACTAATTAAACAGGCTAACTACCTTGTTTGTCAAAGCAGGGTTGTAGACGATGGCAGTTAGTTTATTGTCTTGTTCTGGACAGGCTAATTACTGGTCAACTCTGCAACATACAGAGTTGCTGTATGACTACATGTAAGGAAGATAAGATAGCCTTTGATTTATCCCTGTCCAAGAGCACGTGGTGTAAACATGTGGTCACTACATGGCCAGAGGATTATTAACGACCGAGATAGATAGCATTGGATTTAAATATCCCCTACGCAGCAAGAATATGAACTTGCTTACGTCCTCCACGAGGCAAACTCTGGGCCTCAAGGTCAACGGGCAAAGCCCTGCCACCCCTTAAATACGGAGGTGGTTTCAGAGGCGGTAGACAGACGACAGACCGAGACAGGCAAACATGACCAGCATCACACTGTGAAAAGGTCCCGAGCGTCAGAGCCATTTTGTACACTTTGTAAATCTTTATTCCTCAACTATGTAACGTGTTATGTTACATCCCTCGCTACATTCAACACACTGATAAGTTGGATTCCACGGTGAATCGTTGTGTTTCTGCAGATTACCTGGGTGTGTCAATCCTTACCCACAAATAATGCACTCGTAAAGGTTTGATTCCATTGTGAATCATCACTTGTGTATGCAGAGTACCTGAGTGTCAAAATATTTTCCCACATCGAACACACTGCTAAGGCTTGCTTCCACTATGAATGGTCAGGTGTCGCTTCAGGCTATTTGAGTATGTAAACGCTTTACCACACACATCACACTGATACGGCTTGCTAGCACTATGAATGGTCATGTGTTTCTGCAGGCTACTTGAGTGTGTGAACCACTTATCACACACAACACACTGATAAGGCTTGACTCCACTGTGCATCATCATGTGTGTCTTCAGGTTACCTGATTGTGCAAATGCTTTCCCGCATTCAACACACTGATGAGGTCTCATTCCAGTGTGAATCGCCATGTGATTCTTCAGAGTACCTGATACTGTAAATGTTTTCTCACATATATTACACGGATAAGGCTTGACTTCACTGTGAATTCTGATGTGTTTCTGCAGATTACTTGATTGTGCAAATGTTTTCCCGCATTCAACACACTGATGAGGCTTGATTCCACTGTGAATCATCATGTGTGTCTTCAGGTGATATGAATGTCTAAATGCTTTCCCGCATTCAACACACTGATACGGTCTGAGTCCACTGTGAATCGCCATGTGCCTCTCCAAGGTACCTGATCGTGTAAATGATTTCTGACATATATTACACTGATAAGGCTTGACTTCACTGTGAATTCTGATGTGTTTCTGCAGATTACTTGATTGTGCAAATGTTTTCCCGCATTCAACACACTGATGAGGCTTGATTCCACTGTGAATCATCATGTGTGTCTTCAGGTGATATGAATGTCTAAATGCTTTCCCACATTCAACACACTGATACGGTCTGAGTCCACTGTGAATCGCCATGTGCCTCTCCAGAGTACCTGATCGTGTAAATGATTTCTGACATATATTACACGGATAGGGCTTGACTCCACTGTGAATCCTCATGTGTTTCTTCATGTTACTTGATACTGTAAATTCTTTTCCACATTCAACACACTGATAAGGTCTGATTCCAGTGTGAATCGCCATGTGATTCTTCAGAGTACCTGATCGTGTAAATGTTTTCTCACATACATTACACTGATAAGGTCTGACTCCACTGTGAATCCTCATGTGTTTCTTCATGTTACTTGATACTGTAAATTCTTTTCCACATTCAACACACTGATAAGGTCTGATTCCAGTGTGAATCGCCATGTGATTCTTCAGAGTACCTGATCGTGTAAATGTTTTCTCACATACATTACACTGATAAGGCTTGTCTCCACTGTGAATCCTCATGTGTTTCTGCAGGGTATTTGATCGTGTAAATCCCTTCCCACATTCAACACACTGATAAGGTTTGATTCCAGTGTGAATCCTCATGTGTGACTGCAGCTGACCCGATTGTGTAAATGTTTTCTCACACACAATGCACGGATAAGGCTTAATTCCACTGTGAATCCTCATGTGTGCCTGCAGATGTCCTGAACCTCTAAACCTTTTACCACATTCAACACATTGATAAGGGTTGCTTCTACTGTGTACGTTCATGTGTTTCTGCAGGCTGCCTGACTGTGTGAACCCTTTCCCACATTCTACACACTGATAAGGTTTGATTCCAGTGTGAATCAGCATATGTTTCTGCAGATGACATGATAATGTAAATGTTTTCTCACACACGATGCACTGATGAGACTTGATTCCACTATGAATCATCATGTGTTTCTGCAGGCTACCTGACTGTGTGAACCCTTTCCTACATTCTACACACTGATAAGGTTTGACTCCAGTGTGAATCAGCATATGTTTCTGCAGATGAACTGATAATGTTTTCTTACAAACAGTGCACTGGTGAGGCTTGATTCCACAGTGAATCGCCATGTGCCTTTTCATGTCTTCTGATTTAATAAATGTTTTCCCGCATGCACTACACGTTGACTGATCTTCTGGACCACCACAATCTTTGTGTTCCTTGAGATCACCTGTTTCCTGAGTGTCAGTAATTTCCAGCAATTCTCTCTCACAGTCACTGACTACACATGTTTCAGAAACAGAGCCAGAATTCTGTGGTTGGCTTTGTACTTCCATTGTTAACTTGTGGATGTTATGGTGTTCACTGAAAACAAAAG